ATACAGATACGTTAACAGCAGCAATGGATTACAATTAACATCCTATTTATAAGGAAAGTAGCAGAAAAAAATATGCAGAAGTAGAATCAAACGTTTATAAGTAGAATCAAACATTTAGTATAAGAACAATGGTCCCTAAGGGCATCACTGCAGAAACAAGGCTATAGAATAAATGATAGCTTTGATAATGGCCATGAACCATCAATAAAAATGTGAATAATATACATTATTTTACATTTAATAAGGCTGGATAATATGTTTTTTTTAAAGTTTAAGAGATTAAAGCTTTTTAAAAATATAGTGATAAAAGGGGCAATTTTTAATTAAATGGAAATTTTGCTTATGCAGAGCATCTCATTTTCCCACAAAGCCACATATATGAGATACCATATGATAATTTTGCCATCCACGTAACTAAACAAAGTGGTGAACAGAAGAAATGGTGCAGAAACATTCTTAGACAATGAAGCCATGGTTTTGCCAGGAAGGAGGAAAGAGACAAGCTGGCCAGTATAGCAATCTCTTCCTGGATGAGAATTTTGCCAGTCTTGGGAAAAATATCCTCCCCTATTGAGAGAAAGATTTTGCTTTTGCAAACTCCAAATAGCTATTTCCTACAAAGCAGGTTCCCAGGGGGCCTAGAGAAGATGCTAAACGAGAATGAGTGCCAATAGACTCGTCTCACCGATTGTCTCTCCTAGTTTTCTTCTCTGTCTTAAGTCAGCTTCATAGCGTGCTCCTTACACAGAACAAGGGAACTTAAAGGCTGTTCACATGATAGGTATAAAAACGTACAGATACATACTCCCAGAGTGTCATGCTCACCCTCAGTATGTCTGGTTTCAGGGCCCAAGGTTTGTGGCAATGTCATAGAGAAGGAGCTTTGTGTGAGAGGGCGTATTCGTTTTCTATTGCTGCATAACAAATCACACAAATGTGGTGCCCTAAAATTACACAAATGTGTTATCTCTAGGCTTGATTAAATTCAATGCTTGCGTGGAGGCTTTGGGGATGAATCCACTTCCGAATGCATTCAGATTGCTGTAGAGTTTATTTCCTTGTAATTATAGAATTGAGGTCCCTATTTCCTTGCTGGCTTTTAGCCAATGTCTGCTCCATATTCATGGAGCCCACCTATTTTTTTCTCATGTGTTCCCTTCCATCTTAAAAGTAGTGATCCGTCAAGTCCTCTCACAGGGTGACTCTCTCTTCCTTCTTTATTTGCCACAGCAGGAGAAAGCTCTCCTCCTTTAAGGGCTCATGTGTTTAATTGGGTCCACTCACATAATCCTGGATATTCTCTGCACCTTAAGGTAAACTGTTCTATGTAACATAGTGTGTTCATAGAACTGCAATCTGATCCTATTCATAGGTTCCTGGGATTAGCAAATCGATGGGAGGTCACTTTAGAAATTCTGCCAACCACTAATAGCTTTGGCATTTCAATAGCTAAACTTCCACTAAAAAATAAATATATTTCATTTTACAATATGACAAAGAATATTTTTTTAAAATGAAGCAGTAGAAGGGGGAAGAAGAAGAGAAAGTAGGTAAAGAAATTTGAGAGCAAAAATCAAGTTGCTACCAAAAGAAAGAGAAGCAATATAAAATGTATCCTTCCAGAATTTCAGATAAGAGACAAAATATAGAACTAAGACCCCCATGGGGAAACCCTAGTTTAAAAAAGGCAGATTGAACATAGGTATATCTCTGTTCCCTCTACTTGACTGAAATTACTTAAAATAATACAAATGAATAAAAATAGTGTAAGTCAAAAAGGATAAAGGAGCCAGGAGAAAACTGAGCAACTCACAACAGAGGCCAACAAAGTTTTGAAAGATGGGAAACAGGTTCATGGAACTGACCAAGCCAAGCGAGGATGTTTAAATTCAGATGCCTCTAGAGCAGCGGTTCTCAACCTGTGGGCCGCGACCCCTTTGGGGGTCGAACGACCCTTTCACAGGGGCCGCCTAAGACCATGGGAAAACACATATATAATTACATATTGTTTTTGTGATTAATCACTATGCTTTAATGATGTTCAATTTGTAACAACGAAAATACATCCTGCATATCAGATATTTACATTACGATTCATAACAGTAGCAAAATTACAGTTATGAAGTAGCAACGAAAATAATTTTATGGTTGGGGGTCACCACAACATGAGGAACTGTATTAAAGGGTCGCGGCATTAGGAAGGTTGAGAACCACTGCTCCAGAGGATAAACACCAGGGGAGCCCAATTCTTCGCTGTGCATTATTTTAATTAAAAAACAGATAGCATTCCATTTCTCCCCACAAAGCAAACTTTGGTAGCTTTTTGAAAGCAGGAAATAGTCCTCCTGAAAAGTAGATATTTGATATGGCCTCAATCTGTTGACATGCATAAATTCCATTAACAATAGTGCTTGGTGCTTTTTCACTGAGAGCCCTGTGTCCCTAGACTAATTTCTGCTGTCTCAGGGTCAATTCATTAGGTTGTTAATGTATGATCAAAGTTGAAAGAACAGGACCGGCCAGCCGTGGGGCCTACACAGGGCTTCAGGGTTGTTTACCATACTGTGCAATTCTTAGGAACATGGGAATCCTTGCTAATTCTCACTCAATCCCTTAGGATGAAGCAGTTCTCATTCTGCAGATATTTATTCAGGTATTCTTAAGAAGCAGCCTGTCCTTATCTTCATGTTATTTGCTTTTTAGCCTTATGTCTAAATTTTAAGAAAATTTTTCTTAAAATACTAGAGGAATAGAGAGAAATGGGGGATACAATACATCCCTACAGAAAACTGATGCAATAATATACATAGTTTCTTATTAAATCAGAAATATCTGAGTCAAAGTGAAAACACACTGGCTACAACAGATTGTGGGCAATAAAGGTAATCTTTTTCTGAAGCCATCTCACATCCTTATGATAAAATGATGTCCACACACATACTAGTATGTGCATGTACCTAAACTTGTTCTCAGTCTGCTCTCTTTGCTGGGTTTCCTCTGTTCTACTTCCACTGCTTCTACTCTTTGACATTTCCCTCCTTCTAGTAAAACGCTAAATATTCACTGAGACTTTTTAAAATATATAATATAAAAATCACTCATGGTTAAATGTCAACCTATTAGAAAAGCTCAGTGCTGTAAAATCTAAATAAAATTTAGCAATAGACTAGCTATTTTTCTCTCTAGTCACTCATACATCTAATACACTAGAAGAACCGAGAGGGATCTAAATGAAATTGGGCTAAAGGAAAGAAACCATATTTAAACATAAGCTAGCATGCATTAGCATAATTTTTTAAGATTCCTGATTCTTATATTATCATGCATAATATCATAATAACATTAATAAAATATTGAAGGGTTAGTGGTTGGTAAAACTTTTTAAGATTTAATAGATTTTGTACAATCATGCAACCAGGAGCATGCTTCAATTCTAAGCCAACAGTTCCCCAACTCTTCAAATCAACCAGAATTCAGAAAAAAATGCTTGAGTTTTCTTTTTATATATTCCATACATATAAATGTACTGTAGGAAAGAGGACACCTATCTCCATTGTAAAGACATAACATATAACACAAAAACACTAGCTAAGCTTTCGTATAAATATGTTGCTCTGTGTATAAAAAGGCAATCAATGTATTAGTTGAATACGCCTCAGATGTAAAGATACTACTTTTTGCTTTTTACTTTAGAATAACTTGCCCATTCATTGGAGTGATTGTACAGGAGTAACTAATACCCATTACATATTAATTGCTTATTTATTAGCACTACCACATATAAGATGCAAAAGCAGTAACAGCAGCATAATCTATAAGAATATGAGTGCTCTCATATGTCACTGAGTAATATAGCTCAGAATCTGAATAAGTTTCCTATTTCAGGGACCCAACATCACCTCAACTTGTGCATGGGTTTGAGCTTGTATTTCCAGTGGCAGGACAAGTTTATAGGGACTACCCATGTTGCTCATGGTGAGCCCTCTACAGCCAAGCAGCAAGCCTTTGTGAGGTGGCTAGTTTTATATATCTTTTCTAAGCATTATGCCAAGTTCATATTGTCTCTCAGGCTGGTTCTTTTGTATCTGATAAAAATTGGGGCTTGGGACTCCAACAGTCTTGACCTCATGGCAGATTCCTTACATGAACTTCATTCCTTTGCTAACGTAGTCTATAAAATTGAGAGTAATGTACCCCTGCCTTTCCTTAATATGTGCTTCACAGACTTCAGTTACTAAGATCAGGGAAACATTCTGGTAAATTTACTTCTGAAATGTGTATTGAATGGAAATCTAGTGGAGAACTTCAAAATACAAGCTTACAGAGTCAGAATAACACAGCACAAAGTATATTACAGATCCTACACAGGCCTGTGCCAAGAACATCTTTGGCATCATTGATGCTCCTGCCTCACACAATTTGACAAAGGTGTCCTTTCAGAACTTTATCATCCTAGATTAAAGAAAGCCCAATCAGGGCATAGCTTCAGCCTAGTAAACTCCTGATCATCACTCCAACATTTTCCAAAGTATAAGTCCTTCCTCAGTACCTACAGGCAAAATTATTATCATCTTTCTCCCTCGGTACTGAAGTTTTAGCTCATAACTCTATGGAATGGTGATAGGAACTGTTTTTGTTAATATCTGTTTCACCTTAGCCACCCCGGAATCTAAACTACTGCTTAAATTCATTACACTAATAAATAATCAAATGAAATGAAAACAAGTGGCTTTAGAAAAATCTCTTCCTACATGCTTTTCACTTTAAAGTACCAAAATATAATGTCTTTGACTACTTAGGGAATAGAATAATCATAAATATATAGATAGTTTTAATAAAGAATTTTTAAATTGAGAATTTAAGTCTACAAATGGCTCCTTAAGTTTTCATTCTTACCTAAAGAAACAGAAAGGTTACATAATTCAGTATAAATAGATTGACATGTACAATACGCACCCAAGAAATCGGCCCTAATTTGAGTTATTATAATTAGTACTTACCCATAGCCAATGACTCCCTCTGAGTGAGTCACCAGTAAGGCTCCAATAGTCATATTCAGCATACTCTCTAGTACTCCAGTCTGTTGAGCGGTGATAACCTGGTGAGCCAAATTCTGTAATTTGTCGCTTGATAAGGATGGAATCCACCCAGGGCTCCTTACTGTTGGCAGATCACCAATTTCAATGACCATCACTTTTGACATAGTTTCCATGGTGGTTGGTAGGGGAACCCTGTATGAGTTCATTTCCGTCATGAGAGGTCTACGTTGACCAGCTCTATAATAACTGGTACAAGGTACAGTTGGGCAATTGCGCTTTCTTTTTGCTCTATGGTCAGCAATGGCCTTTAAGGTTGCTTCATTGCCAGGCATATCATAAATAAATCTAATTTGGTCTTGGCTAATCTGTAAGAATTCAGTTAGTCTTTCAAGGGTCACCACTTCCCAGCCTTTTTCTAGGACTGAAAACAGCACAGTGAAGGCCAAATGAATGGAAACACCTGAGCGTATTTCAACCAGCTCCTCTCCTTGTAGAACAACATACAAGAGGTTATCCATGATGCTGAAATAGTTGGAACCAACAGACTCATCCAGCAATGAGGAAGTTGATTGAACCAGAATAGGTGGGATGAAACTTTCCCCTAAGAAAACATGGGGGCTCTGGAGTTCATGGTAGAATACAGCCAACAGAAGTTTGGAGGTACTTTTGTTCCCCAATAGAAAAAAACGCAAAACGTGAGGAGTCTGATCCACAAAGCAGACCTTGGTGGTTTCCCTGGTGGGTAAAATGGAATAGAAAGTGGATACAGACCCTGAAGTAGAGCAGGAAGTATTGGCATTTACACCACTGAAGGTGTCAACAAAACTACTAGTCACAGAAACAACAGGATATAACTTCCTCATTACCCAAGTGGCATTAACAATGTCAAGAATTAAGATCACTTGGTCAGTCTCTTTGCAGATGTAGCCTTGTATCAGGGATCGGTATGTGCATTTCTGTTCTTCTCTAAATGTACCTATAAAATAAAGAAAAATAAACAGGTGACATGTGAACCACCATTGCTCAAAGATGATTTGCAATCCATCACGATCATCATCATCTGTAACCACATGAAACATTTTTTGAACACTTCGGTGTGCTAGATACCGAGACTGCAAAGAAATCTTGGGCAAAATATTAAAGACACATACATTAAATAACAGCTATTTAATGTAATGTAAATGTATATGTTATATAATAAATGTAATTTAAAGTTAATAATGGCTGTAATTGCTAAGTGTAAAAACAGTGAATACATAAAATAATTAAGAAAAAGGGAATGATAACTAAGGTCTCCATAGTGAACAACAACAACAATAAAACAAACAGGAGAGAATAGGGTAATACTTGAGTCAATGGGTAAAGAAGTAAATTAAGGGAGCTGTAACAGAAAATGTATGGCAATATATTAAAAATGAAGAGGTATATTCTGACCAGATTGTGAAAGAGTTTGGATATCAAACTATATAATTTTCTCATACTTTCTTTTTCTGTATATGAACAGTAAAGAAATACCAGAAGAGGGGAAAAAAGTAATAATTTGGGGAGAGTTGGGGGTAATCAGGGCTAACAAAAATATTTAAAGAAACAGCATTATCCATATCCCACCATTTCTAATCATCCTGTCTATGAACCTAGAGTAGTTCTTGTTCTGAATCCACAGAGATAAATCTTCCAGCAAAGAATTCCTTTGATTTAAAATCGATATTCACAAAATTGTCTTGTATTGTTTTCTAGATTTTTGTACTTGCCTTATTGCAAGTTCATCAAAGTTGCCTAAGAACTGCAAGCAACAAATAAAAACTCAAGTTATTACTAATGAAGGATTTACTAAATATGAGCATGATCTCTCCTCCTATGTCCTTCTTTCCACATGATATGATTAGGAATTTGTGCCAAAGCTGCCTATATATCAATAAATTTAATTACCAAAATGTGGCTGTAAAAGTAGGGCACGTGGTTTACTTGTGCCTCACACTAATAGCAACAGCAGTCAAAATTATAAGGGAAATTGTGAAATACCTTAAACTAAATGATAATAAAATTTTAACATATCAAAATGTGTGGGATGCAGTGAAACAGTACTTTGAAGGAAATTTATAACTTTAAATTCTTTTTAATAAAATATATTTTATTGATTTTTTACAGAGAGGAAGGGAGAGAGATAGAGAGTTAGAAACATCAATGAGAGAGAAACATCGATCAGCTGCCTCCTGCAAACCTCCTACTGGGGATGTGCCCGCAACCAAGGTACATGCCCTTGACCGGAATGGAACCTGGGACCTTTCAGTCCACAGGCCGACACTCTAACCACTGAGCCAAACCAGTTACAGCAACATTAAATTCTTATATTACAAAAGAGTTGTCTAAAAATAATTTCTTATTCCATTACCCTAAATGCTTTTTAAAAAGAACAAAGCAAACCAAACATAAGTAATAATAAAGTAAATAATAAATATAAAGGCAGAAATCAATGAAATAGAAAAGAAGCAAACAAAATCAGAGAATGTAAGCAAAGCTAAAACTTGTTTCTTAGAAAATATCCCCAAACTGAATAACCCTTCATTAGATTGCTCAAGGCAAAAATAAAGAGAACAGAAAACACCATTCCAAGAATTAAAGAAGGATTAATATTACAGATGCTGTGGATGAAGGTTAAGACATCATTACAAACTTTCTCCCAACAAATTCAACAATTTAGATGAAATAGACAACTTTCTTGAAAACTGACATAAAACACAAAATTTTAATTGTTCTGTCTCTTAAATCAAATTCACTAAATTGAAATATAAATTATTATTAATTAAGCACATAAACATAAAATCTAGGGAAAAGTAATATTAATTAATTACCCAATACACCTCTGTATTACTTTTTTCCTATAGTTTTGTTGGACACTTTTGTAGATCTCCTATATCTGACAACAATGTTGTAATATTTTCTATAGGGATAACAGAAAGATAATTCAGTTGTTTCTTTAATCTGGATGATTGACATTGTTGTTATTGTTTTTATCACGATAGTTTAGAAGAGTTCTTTTCAGCTTCACAACTCATAACTGGTAATATATAAATGTTTAAAATTATTGTCAAATATGGAAAATTTCCTAGAAAGGTTTTCTCATGTGTGAGCTATAATATTTGAATAAATTTGCACAGAGTAATTTTTATGACACTGTCATTAAAACATACTTCTCTTTCACCTCTCATGTTCTTCTCAGTCCTTAGGATTCATTCACATCACAGTGTGACCTAGGGCCTTGTTCCTGTGTGTCATAGCATTGTAAGTTGACATGGGTGGCTAGTAAGAACTTTACATAGATGTGATTGTGAACCACAAAAACCACATCCTATTAAACTTATATCAAATGAATATCCAATTCAACTTCCCTTAGCTCGATCCTAAAAGTGCTTGTGGCTATTCCATTGCCACCCAACCTCCTAGTACTATGATGGAGAATTTAGAGTGGAAACAGTATTATTTCAAATTTTAGTTAAAAATATTCAATTTTAAAAATTTTACAAAAACATAGGGCTATATAGACATATTGCTAGGATTCCTTTTGGAGTCTTAGAAGTGGCCCATGTAAGTGAGGACCCTGAAACCTAAACTTGATCAGCTTCATGGGACTTCCCTGAAACCTCAGTCAGCCGTGCTGTGGAGAGCAAATGCACTCACGCCTTGGGTATGTCTAATGAGATGGCATGGACAAACAGGATGGCTGGGTTCACTGAAGCTTGGGTTTCTACCAACAAAGGACAGAGGGTCACAGGTATTAAAGATATTTGCAAATGTCTATATATATAAAAAGCCAGTGACCAGAATGCAGTAACAACCTGAATGACTGGTCGCTATGATGCCCACTGCAGCCAGCAAACCAGCCTGATGGGGGTGGGGCCGGCTGGCCAACCTCCTGTGGCCCCTCCCCCAGTCAGCCCCGCCCCTGATTGGCCTCTCCCACCCCTATTGAGGCTGAGGCAGCCAGCCAACCCCACTGTGACCCTTCCCCCTGGCTGGCCCCGCCCCTGATTGTTCTGCAGCCCCTCCTCCCAGCCAGCCCTGCCCCTGATTGCCCCCTACCCTAATAGGGGGCGGTGCCAATGGCCAACCTCCTTCAGTCCCTCCCCCGAGACAGCCCCACCCCCGATGGGCCCCACCACCCTGATCTGCCCGCGGCCCCTTCCCCCAGCCAGCTTTGGCCCCGATCGCCCCCCACACACACACACCAATTGGGGGTGGGGATGGCTTGCCAACCTCCCATGGCCCCTCCCCCAGCCGCTGATCCCCGTTCAACACCCCCCACCCCAATCAGAGGCGGCCTGCCAGCCAATTGCCCATGGCTACTCCCCCCAGCCAGCCCGGCTCTGATCTGGCCCAATCATGGCCAGCCAGCTGGCCAACCTCACACTGTCTCCTCCTCCTGATAGGCTTGGCCTCGATCTGCCCCAACTGGGGCCAGGCTGGCCGGACCCCACCCATGCACAAATTCGTGCACTGGGCCTCTAGTCTAATTATAATGAAGTACAGCACACCTCAGTTGCATAAGGAAGGGAATGAAATGAGGGTACTAATGTATGTCAAACAAAGGCACATGGCAGTGGGTTTAATGTCACAAGGAAAGGGCTCTTGAACAAGTGAACTGGAAAGACACTTCAGTTCATGATTTTGAAAGTTGATGGTGAGGACAATGTCAATGTTATTACTGTGTCAATAAGTAGTAAGGTAGAAAAAAAAAGCGTACTTAAAAAAGTAACAACACCAACTAACATTTAGGTATTTAGATGTCAGATATTTTCCTAGAGAAGCCTTGAAGATGAGTTGAAGAGTAAGAGTCGGAACATGCACACAATGACTAGATCACACATAAAAATAAAATTCTGACCCACAATCTGCAGTGAACAGTCCAAGAAGCAGCCCATCATCAGGAGCAACCAGTCCAGGATGACCAAACAATAGCCCCAGAAATAATTAGCATAACATAACCAGTACTTAGGTAATAACTGTCAGTTTCCCTAATTCTTCTCTCCCTCCCTCCCTCCCTCCCTGCCTCCCTTCTTTTCTTTCTTCCTTCTTTCCCTCTCCTTTCTTCTATCCTCAGTACCCTTTACCTAAAACTTCTTAATGGCAGGTTTAATTATCTTTAGTTCAGAGGTAGAAAAATTGACTTGCCCTGACTGGGTCACTCAGCTGGTTGGAGTGTCATCCCATTCATCCAAAGGTTGTGGGTTCAATTTCCAGTAAGGGCACATATACAGGTTGCCGGTTTGATCCCTGGTTGGGGCACATATGGGAAGAAACCGATTGATGTTTCTCTCTCACATTCATCTCTCTCTCTCTCTCTCTCTCTCTCTCTCTCTCTCTCTCTTTCCCCTCTCTCTAAAATCAATAATAATAATAAAATATCCTCAAGTGAGGATAAAAAAAGAAAAATTGACTTACAGCAATTTTGATTCACATAATTACTTAGTAATAGTAACAAGGAAGAGATGGAAGAGAAAAGCATACTTTCAAAATTCTATGCCTCTGGCAAAATAAAATGTCATCTGAATAACTTCATTTTGGGGTTATATTTAGATGTAGGGTCAGCTGTGGTGATTAATACTGTGAGAAAGCTGCTATAATAATCAGGATTTCTCTCTACCCAAATCCATTAAAAGGAACTCACAGAAAGATTTTTAGTTATTTGGTTAATCACAATTTTGATGGGATTCCATTGGCTTTTTTATATTATCATTTGGCCTTTTTAATACTTTAGCATACTATCCCAGAAGTATAAACAGACAGCCTCAAATTCAACAAAGGTGATAGCCTAAAGATGATCAACAAACTTGGAATCTTGTGTTCACTTATAAGAAATCAGGTTTTGTTTCTCCAGAATTTTACCGATGACTGAGAGACAGGGTGGTTTATCAGTATCTTACCATCCACTTTCCTATTTTGTCTTCAAAGTTAATCAATTCTAGTATGTAAATTTTA